TTTTTTTCGAGAGGTCTTTTCACCGGCTTGAGTGATGTTCAGTTGGGTCGTTAGGTGACGAGTTGAGTTTGGCCCTATAAAAAAATCGTCCGACCTCGACTGTTCCAGAGCGGCTCCGGACTGACTCCGTTCAACAAGAGGGCGTTCGACAGTCTCGCAGGCAGCGGTTTCACTGGATTCGATAAGAGGAGTCTCGGATTGGTGCGTTACCTTCCGCTTCAGTTACCTCTTCTTGCCACACTTTCTTAATAATTCCTAATAATATGCCTTTTTCAGACGGGCGGTCGCTTCCATCCATTACAAGTGAGCTTTTTTCGAATTTAAATACTCAGTGTCATAAGCTTCGTATTATGGGAACACTAGGGATACCCCTATTTCCTTCTTTGTAAATAACGGACCGATTCGAGAGAAAGAATGAAACGGCTGTTCTTCTCATTGGGTTTTTCGGTCTTTGTCCTCCTCCAAAATCTCGTCACCCACACGTCATCTTCGATAGTTCCTAATCCGCTTAGCTCCCATCTTAGCAACAACCCGAACAGCCGAAAAAGGGATGCTATGGTTTCAAATTGCAACTCTCCTTTATTACAACCTCAGCGTCATTTCCAACCACCACGATGACGTTATCGAAAAGTGGAAAGTTTGTTTGAGTGGGGTATATCGTGAAATTATAAAAAACTATTGAATTTGTAGTCACAACTTTGAATTTTTAACAAAGAACAGGTACATTTCCAAGTTGTGACACCCACGCAGGGGAAGCTTAACAAAGGAATGTGACTAAACAAAAAGCCTACGACGAGTACGGATGAAAGACCTGGTGGTTGAGGGCCTAGTCTAGAAAACTAGTAAATATGAATGATCATGGCACTGTGAACCCTCCCTGGGCCTAAAAATTTAGGGTTCTCCCTAACATTTGTGGTTTGTGATTAAGACTATCTAAACCAAGTCAGACCCCCTTCGCACGTTCATATATGATTAACCTGTTCTATCTCTGTCACCTCGCTCTTCTCTGTGCTCCCTCAGCCTCTCGTCGTCTGACC